CATGCTCCCTCCTTCCCTTGTGTCGAGCCTCCAATCGAGCTTGAGTGTGTCCCGTCCTAGCGAACCGAGCTTCCTGCTTCCCAAGGTGTCCTTCGCAAATTTGTTGATGATGTCTTGTCTCTTGTCTGGCTCCTTGTTGTTTTGTTTCCTTGCCTTGTGCCAGTCCGTCTGATACTCGATTTGCAATGCCTGCTTGACGCCTTCCCAGGCCTCCTCCAAGGGTATTTCCTGTGAGTCAATGGTCTCCTTGCACCTTCTTTTCCGGACTGTCCAGAGCGCCAGTGGTCAGAGTCTCCTATAAAGCTTCTGCTGAATCTGCTCCCATTTTTCCAGCCCATTGGGTTTCACGAACCCCCCACCAATAGATGGAGCCAGCCCGGGTGTGCTAGAGGTGCTGCCTGCACCTTTCAGCACTCCTAGCATTACCCAAGGGAAAGGTTTTTATTAAAAAAAAAAAGAAAAAGAAAAAAAAAAAAGGGCTAAGGTGTCCTAGAGGTGAGCACCTTGCTGATGACAGCGTTCCAAAGTTCCCGGATCTTGCACCCCAGTTGTTCTGCCTTTGGGCACTGCAGCATGCAGTCGACGATATCCTCCACCAACCGCCTGTCACAAATTGTGCAGTTCTCGTCAGGAGCGAGCCTGTTGACGCACGCCCTTTCTTTACTCCCCCACTTGTTGACCGGGAGAGGCTGGTAGGTTATGAGCCATTGCATGCTTCTGATCCTAGTGTTACGGATTGCTTTCAGGACCGCCTTCCGGGGTATTGTGGGCAGTCCCCCCAGTCCGCCTCCCGGGCACACTCCTCTCCCACCACTAAGCAATGTACCCGCAGATCTTCATCTCAGCCTGTAACCCAGTCTCGTGGAGTAGCTTAGGATACCGATTGAATGCTCCACCTCGTCCCCCGCGCTGTCAGCTTCCACGCCCACTCCGCCAGGTCAAACTTGAGTTCCTAGATAGGCGTAGAGGGTTCGTAGACCCTGTAGTCGTCGTCTTCCATAACGCTGACTTTCCTGAGGAGGACAAGGCCATGGTGGGAGGATCCTCCCATTTCCAGGTTGTTCACTCGCCCGTCATCCAGGTAGGCCTCTTTTTTAGTAATTCGGACCATGACAGTGGGACTGATAGCAGAAGGCCATTCAGGTTCTGTTGCAGGTTGTGCCAGCTCTTTAGGAGTTCCCCAAGGTCCATATGGGTTTTCCAGCAGTTATGATCTTCATGCCATATGTGCTTTATCTGCCAAACACCTCTCTCCACCCATGCCGCCTATCTGTCGTCCTGCGACGTTAAAGTCGATGGTGTTTCAGTCCTGTCTTTGAACCACTGATTACAAAAGAGGGGGTTGCCTTAGTATATTCCCCCTGGTGGACGGCAATTTAACCTTCACAGGGAAGATTTCTCACCAGGTCCGCAGGAGTTGCTTCCGATAGTCCCGGTTGCCCCTAGCGCGTTGCCCCTGCTGTTGATCATGCTCTGCTCTCTCCTCCCTTCAGCTTGCCCAGGACTTGGATATGATCCAAAAGAGGCCCCTGGATGTTGCTGGGCATGCGGACCTTAGGCAATTGTCTGATTCTGTGGAGCCCCAGCCAGTGGCCGAGGACGGGTTGTGTTGGGCCAGCAGTTTGAAGATCCATTTGGATCGAAGGGCTTCTGTCTGAGTTTCTGAGTTGAGGATTCCTAGTCACCCTCTGCCCTTGGGTTGAATCACTTATTTCAATGCTACTTTGGGAATGAAATTCTGCTTCGCAGGGTTACCTGTCCACAGATAGGTCGACGCCCTTTTTTCAAGAGCCTTTCTCAGGTGGATTTCAGGGGGTCCAGATGTTTGTTTGGTTGTTTTGTTTTGTTTTTGTTTTTGTTTGTTTGGTTTTGTTTGGTTTTGTTTGTTTGTTGGTTGGTTGGTTGGTTGGTTTGGGTTGGTTGGTTTGGGTTGGTTGGTTTGGGTTGGTTGGTTTGGGTTGGTTGGTTGGTTGGTTGGTTGGTTGGGTTGGGTGGTTGGGTTGGGTGGTTTGGTTTGGTTTGGTTGTTTGTTTGTTTGTTTGTTTGTTTGTTTGTTTGTTTGTTTGTTTGTTTGTTTGTTTGATTGATTGATTGACAGAACTTCATGGTCGGGGTGTCCTGCTTACCGGGGTTATACGAGCATCCCCGATAAGCAAGGCCCCTGATTGAAGGCTGGATCTGTTTTATGGCCGAAGTGCTTTCTTTCCTTTCTGCGCCCGGGGCCATGGTGGAATTTTATGGCCAAAGTGCTTTCTTTCCTTTCTGCGCCAAATTTTGTATCTAGAAATGTGAGTTTTGATCGCTCGGCTTTTAAGCCGGGACATCTTTGGGCAAGATTGCCTGACACTCTGTGATTGCTTTCTACTCGTTTCTCCCTTCTAGTTTGTGTCCCTACTCTCCCTTCTCTCTCTCTCTCTTTCTCTCTCTCTCTCTCTCTCTCTCTCTCTCTCTCTCTCTCTCTCTCTCTCTCTCTCTCTCTC